GGTCTTGTGGCTTTAAATTCCGTCTGCCTACTGACAGAGTCCAAATTTGTATTTCTGATCCAAACCTCAGTGAAAAACTATAGATAACATATTTCCGTATGGGATTTCTAATCCACATCCTAAGTGTGATTTGTACACTATTACTGCCATCCCATGCCAGAGCCGAGGTTTTTCCTATCTCAGCCACCCAAGATAACATCTTATGAGCACTTAGTGTATGCCTTTCCAGGCTCCTAGGGGTATGTATCCAAGGCCTCTTTGTATGCCCCTCTTACAAGATCATATTTTATATGTTAGTTTTTTTCCATCTTCCCTGATCATTTACTATGGACATATTATGGATACTCTTAAATATTTTTTGAAACAGTATCTTTTAGTAGCTACTTGTTTATAGTACACTTTATTAACTAACCCTTTACTGGTAAGCATTGAATTACTTCCCATAACTTGGATGTAATTAAACATAGAAGGGAATATTTCATCTATTTATATTCCTGCTCTGGAAGTTACTACTTACATGTTTAGCACTTAAAAGCAGGTCTCTAAATCAGGATATAGCTTACACATTAAATGCAAAATAATTTGAAATATTTTAATAAGTTTTACATTGATTGACTTACTTGAAATTGTAATTTGGTTATTTTGGGATAAATAAGGTATATTTAAAGGTTGGTTTCACATTTGCCATTTTGCTTTATAAAATGTGACTTCCAGGATATTAAAAGAACATACCTGGTTTGTGTTCTACTTTCATGACACTATTTTACTTGTTCCAGATAACTTTGGAGACATTTATCATCTCTTCTTCTCATATCTGGAATCCAACTATTATTAACCTTTCCCATCACTCCCACTCAGTTCCAAACATCATTAAAGCTTGTTTCAATGTTGGCAACAAACCCTTAACTAGTCTGCAGATTTCTTAAGCCCATTCGTAGTGTAGAGCCAGGCTGTTCTTCCAAAGCATGTGTCAGGTCGTGTCTCTCTTCTCCAAACTCTCAGACTGTTTTTATTTTATTATTCACTGTAAAGCAGGTCCTCAAAAGCCACTTTTAAAAGCTGATCTCCTTATCACTTTGATCCCATTTCTACAAGTTCTGACAGAGGCAAAAATGTATTTCCCAATCAGAACAATTGTTCTAGCCTCTGCCTGGGTGGCTGTCATCCCACATAGCGCATTTCATTCTGGGCCACCTCAGATTTTCACATTTGCAAAACCTTTCTGAAGACTTTAAAATTAGGAACTTATTGTTCTTGATTGCCTCAACTAACTGGTTTTTAGTTCTCTTGTTTGTTTGTTTGTTTTTAGTTTCTTTGTTTTTATTTTAACATGAGCTACTGGCTAACAAATTACACAGTTTTCTTGGTAGTTGAGTTAATTTTTATATCTGTCTCATGTGACCCTGTGACCCTGTGCTCTGTGACATCAGGAAGCTTTATTTTAAGAAAGTGCTTTGCCTGTATTCAGTGACAAATAGTTATCTGTTGAAAGAATAAGGAAGTGAATACATACGTATGATGACAAGCTTTCTGGGAATTAACATGAAGGAAATGACCTCATTTCCTGAATGGAAAATAATTGTGAAGTGGACGTGGATGCTCAAGGTGACTCTTTGCTAGAGAGGACCTTCGGCACTACGTGAGGGACCAGTGTTCATACTGATGTAAAGTGCAGAGAGATTTATGATCCTTTAAATTTTAAAATTAAAATGATTTTAAAGCAACACCTGAAATAAAAATTATACATATTAGTGGGGTAACCAATGACGTTATTCTCCATGTCTGTTCCGTAAAAATTTAAATAAGGTTAAATGAATCTTTTTACTCAGTTCTTGGTTATATTGTATGAAAAGTTCCAGTCTTTTTGTCTATCTTTTTGGAATGTACAGTATGTTATCTTTTTCTGCAGTTTTTCCCTATTATGCTAGGATACTCCAGGACCTCTTGCTCTCTCTGTTTAACCAAACACAGTACCTTTGATTGCATCCTTTCCTGTGCACTGACCTCCTCGGCCTCTCTATTGTCTACAACTATAAAACAAGTGAGATCATGTTCTTTGTCTTTAGAATAGTTTGAATTCTTTATTGTTTAAGAGAAATCAGAGTGACTTGAATTTTGTTTTCATCTGGCCAAGAAGGAAAAGAGAGAGGACCCAGTTGATGAGAGTAATGCATAGAAGAGAAGTTAAAGAGATTGGAAGGCGGTGGGAACCACTGGTAACTGTTAAATGTGGGGAAAGGGCAAGCTGTTGAAGTTGACTTCACTTAGATCTTTGACATCAGAGTGGAGGAGGAGAGAGAAGAAATGAGGCGGACAAGTAGGCCAAGGGTTACGGGATATGGATAAGGTCACTCTTGAAGATTAGTAAGCTCAAATGAACCATCCCCTGAATTTCTAAAATGTCTCCTGCATGCTTCAAGCATTTCAAACAATAGACACGTGCTCTACAGTTTTTACGGCTGGCTGTTTTCAAACATATGTTACGAAGTTGTTTAGGGGAGACACTGGAAAGAGGAAGCTGACTTTTTGCTTCAGTTTCATGTAGAAATTTCATTAAAGCAAACATTTATAAACACACACATTACAAAAAAATATTAATCAGCCCCAAATAAATGCATATCAAAACATAAGTGAAGGTATTGGTGAGAATGAATACTCACGGCTTCAGGATGGATATGTATCTGGGAAAGAGTAAGGCTATAGGCCTTGGTATACGTGTGTGCCTGGTGTGTTTGTGTACCACCAAGGTCAGCATACCTAGGGCTGAGCAAGTGAACTGAGATGTATCAAGAGAGGAGGTGAGTGGGTACCAGGATGGAGTGTCTGCCATCAGCTAGCACTCCTTACATAATTGGGGGCCCCTGGGAGGATTTGCACAGGAGCAATGTGATCTGCTCTGCCTTTCACAGGACCCACCTTGCCGGCAACTTTGACAAATGACTCTAAGAGGCCAAGAATTCAAGTTTAGGGGAAATGGAAAAGAACCTTGATAGCTTTTGTGGGAGGTGTCATGAACAGCAGAACAGTGGGTCAGAAGCAGAGGATAATTTGGACCCAGCATTGAAAATATTTACTGAAAAGACTGGGTATAGGTAAGGAAGACAGGAACTAAAGGTAACTGAGGATTTATGTCTAGGCTGTTTGCAAGGTAGAATATCTAGAAAGCAAATTATGTGTCCCAGTGTGATATTTACTGATGGCTCATGATGAGGTGTAGAATAATTGATTTTATTGACTTTAGTGGGATTCTGGAGGTTTTAAATGTCAGAGACTCCTCTTTCTCTCCTGTCCTTCTCTGTAGCTGTTTCATGTACTCTCTTGTAATTGAAGTTTTTCTTCTCTCTCCCAGTGGAAAACATCTATTATTTTCTGAAGCATTTATTCTTTGCTGTGGCGGCTTATAGCTGCCTCCTCCTTATGTTGTTTAATTGGACTATTGGCTACAATTATAAACCTATTGAGTCATATGCATTTACTTGTCTGGAGAAATGAGGCTTTAAGGTTGTAATGAAACAGAGTAGAATGGATTGTGTTCTCCACACTTGGTAATTTATTCTTATCACTAACGTGTTCTGGAAAAAATACATTTTCTTTAAAAAAAAAATCATCATCATTTGCCACAGCAGGAAAAGATGCTGAAGGATTGAGATTGTAGTCTGGTGTAAATTTAAAACTTTAAAAGCAGGAAAGGAAGTGACTGGTCATTACAGGGCTGTCAGTAATTAGTCGGGCACATGCTTACTCTCAGGAGCTGAGGAGGAGGCGTTGAATTGGGAATCAACAGTATGAAGAGTCTAAAGTTTCAGTGACTTTAGAATTATAATGGTGACTGGGATCCTATTTCTGAAGTTTTGTGGTTTTAGAAGATTGGGTGTTTAGCACTCTGAATTGCTAATAATCTGTGATTATAAGAATATGATAATGAAAATTGATTTCTGAACTCCATGGCCTTAACACTGACATCCAGTGAGATCAAGTCTTTAATCATGGCTATGACAAAATAGGGTATATCATCAGAGACACTGGGAAATAAATTAAGGTAAGACAGGAACATAGCATTAATGGTGGTAGATCCTCCAGACGAGAAATGACAAAGTAGAGGTTAAAGGGATGGATGAATGGATACTTTGCTTACTGCAGAAGCACATAAGGACCTGAGTTTTGTCCCCCAAAACCTACATAAATATCCACACACAGTGGTGCATCTTGAAAAACCTAGCCCTAGGGAAGTGGAGAGAGGGGAAACTCTAGAAATTGCCACTAGCTAGTCTTGTTACATCAGGAAGGCCCATCCAGGTTCAATGAGAGACTGTGCCCTAAAAAATACAGTAGAGAATCCTTTAGGAAAGCATCTGATATTGACCTCTGGCAACCACACCTCTCTGCACATCTGCACATGTACATGTACACACATACACATGCTTGTGCCCCTCACGTATCTCCTCAAGATAGAAAATGACAGCATTTCTGTATGATAATATAAGCTTTTCTGCTTATGCAGTAAAATTGTTTAACTCATTAAACATAATAAATTAAATTAATTCAATGAATAATTATGAGGCAACATATACTAATCTGCACCTAGTATCATTGACAACAGCTATTTCTACTGCATTTTGACATATTCAAATCTTGAACACTCTTCTCTGATTCCTCCTTATATCTCCCATCTTTGCCCGCCTCTTCTGCCTCCTCCAGCCCTCTGCACTCCTCTCCTGCCTCCTCCAGCCCTCTGCACTCCTCTCCTGCCTCCTCCAGCCCTCTGCACTCCTCTCCTGCCTCCTCCAGCCCTCTGC